AATATGGCATTATCGAGTACCTCTCAATTTTATGATTGTCATCCCACATGGACAATAAGCCGATGAGTTGACACAACATAGTTCAGTGAAGTAAATACTCCATAACTCATAAATTACTTTTCAATAGTGTTGAGAACAGGGCAAGAAAGGTTTTTGTACTAAATGGATGCGTCGTGTTCTTTAAACACTCCTTTTTGATATGAGCTCGACTTACTTAGTATCCCTAAGGGCATACGATTCTGCATGCTCTGGGAGGCCGAAGGCGAAGCGCATCCCAACCAGAGTTATATCCACAGCCACTGACGATGAGCCTATACACGGTTGTTGATGCTATCATCAGTTTTATTTTGCTCAGCACTTTACCGTAGGGTTTTGTATCCTTGTGATCTCCAAAGGTCTCTTCCCAATAGCCTTTCTCTCGATCTGTCAGCAGAACCTTCTTCTTGAACGGTTCTACCATAAGCAGACCAGCAGAGTTGATAGAGGTAACCTGGAGAAGAAAAACTCGCTAAGAGGAAGCCTGTCTTTGGAATAAAGAGTTTCCTACTAGGATATCTTTCGAGTAAAAGTCGATTCGTAAAGGACTATGGGTCACTACAACTCGGTGGCCATCATCAGTGATCATCTTTGACACCTTTCCGTCACTTTTTGATTTTTTGATTCTGTAAGGGCGCAAATAGCAAATAATTCCTTTATCCTAAGACCAAGAAACGGAATCCTACTTCTGTTGTTTCGGATCTCGCTCTGCGAGGGCGTCAAGCGGTCGAAACCGCTTTCGTTTGGCTCCTTTAGGTTCATCGATGACCAGTCTGCAAGGCAACACTTAAGAAAGCGGTGTAAAACTGCGAAGCGGAACTATTCTCGGCCGAATCTCAAGACACGGCTACCAATGCATTGCAACTCAGGTAGAATTATTGAATGCGCGTTTTGTAAGAAGAAATCTGGGTTAGATTAATAAAACCAAGCTGACGTGACATCTTCACAAAATATACGCGAAGGATCCAATTAAAACTGGTCAGAATTTTCGGGTCGAAATAGCAGCGAACGAGAGAGAACTCAAGAACTTGTGTCAAATCGCCACGATAAATCAATAGTGTTCGCGTTCACTCAGAATCGCATAGACTTCTTGAAACCGCATCGCAAGAACTGAAAACTCTTACCGAAAAGTGGAATCGTGCAGAGAGATTATGTGAAGATCGAGCGTCAGGTCCTGGAAGATATGAATACGTTTGAAAAGGGCAACATGATGAAGATGATATGATGAGAATTCGAAATTCAAATCACCTTGTTTTTGATTTGCGCGGAAAATGCTGTATCATTGAACTTTGCTGAACCATCAACTACCTCATATCCGGTTGGCGAAGTCACCTCTCGTTGTCGCCTGAGCAATATCAACATTTTTTGAAAGCAAATTTGAGAGATGGGTGGGAGAAAGCAGCTTATGTCCTACCCCAAAGGCAAAGCGACTATTTTTTCATGGCCACACCCAGCTGGTCATATTTGAGCGACGATGAGGACTTGATACTTTTCAAATACCTATTAGGCCGTCATCTCCAGAACTATCGGAGATAAACTTTTGAAGTCGCTCAGTTCATTACAATGTACGAGAATTTCAGATTGCATAGTACTATACTAACACACGGCACCATTTCCGCTAAGCAGATTGAGACGAGGAACTAGACGTGTTTGATCATCCTAGGGGTGTTCATCTGTC